TCGAAAACTGAACGAAGACAAAATCGAAAAGGGTGCTTTCTGGCAGAAAATCCGAGATTTTCAAAAAATTTTCAACATTTGAACAAAATGGATAGCTTTCATTACAAGCTTGTCCTGAGTCATGTTTTCGTAAAGAAAATTCGTTATTTTGTACAAATTTTGGCCCAGACAATGTTTTTCAACCAATTTTGAGAGGCTAGTGTTTGTGAAGGTTTTTTTTGAAGGGCTTATCCATTCCTACCTCATACCCATTTAAGATAATGTTATCATTGCCTGTTCACATTCCCATTCTGACATTACCCTCCCCCTCTCCCTTCTATCCTTTTTCTGCCTCCCACTCCGTTGTACTCAAACTAGTAACGTAGGTATGCCAGGCAGGCAATCGTCTCTCCAAACGCTAAAATCGGTTCCTGGCCTAAAACTGACAGCTCCCGTCACTTATAATGTGCACTCGATAGAGAACGAGAGGAATCAACTAGCCGTATGACATCAATGGAAATCCACATCGTACATTTCCGATGCCGAACGTAAAATCAATAGCGAGCGTAAAATCAATACCAGGTGTACGAATAGAAAATTCAAGAAAAAACGTACTTTTCGATCTTCCAGCGATTTCGAAGATCTCGGAAAGTTCTCGAATCTTCTCGTAGTTCAAAGGTTTTGTTATGGATACGGTACCATCGGAATGAATAGTGAAGTGATCGCGAACAATTGGAGCAGCGAGGATATGTTCACCAGTGAAAAGAGGAATTCGCTGGAAATAGCAATCATAAAAAGAAAAAATAATCGTAAATGGCAAATGCGTGGCGGTTTGTCCAAATTAGAACTAGTTTTGGACATATGGATTACGGTAAAATGGGTTCTGTGCAGAAAAAAAGCTCAAGATACCTTTGCAAATTCTTCCTTTGTGTTTTCCTTCACTCTGATTTCTACAGGGTCAGAAAGTTCCCTTCTTCGACGACTTCTGGTAAAAGTGTAGCTGTCCTTTTTGTCTTGAATCAAGACGGTTACTGTAGCTGTCGAGTTCTGAACAAAAATGTGCATGGACAAAGAAAAGGACCATCTATTCAGAATACTGTAGCTTGCAAAAAAAATGAAAAATCAGAATCTTATGTAGTAAGCAAAAATGGCTCAAATACATATTTCACACAGCTGGAAATTTCGAAAATACTTTCCCAAGCGTGAAAAAAATTACCTGATTTATGGAGTTTTTTGCAACGACTTGGAGAACATATTTTCCAATCGGGACCTTCGATATGGTATAAATATCCCCAGAAAATGGATCGATATTGAAATACGTGTTATTTTCTAGCAGACCATATTGTACGCGTCCTTTGTTGGTTCTGAAACAAAAATTCAAGTGTTTATTTACGTACTTTCCTTTTTGGCGACAGTCCCACAAACAGGTTCCCGGGCTTTATCCCCTTTTTAGTGCAACTAGTCCTGAGACGGGAAATTCTTGGATTCGACACCCTGAGTTCACCTCTCTTCTTCTTTTACTGGCACAATTCCTGGAACGGAATATTTCAAAAACTGAAGTGCCCGCGCTTTTCCCTTTCCTTTAGTGCAACTAATCATCGAACACCGTGCTCGCGACATGGATGATGATTTGC